TAATTAGCTATAGGAGTCTTCTCAAAGCTAAGTAGTTGTACAAAGAAGAGCAACAGCGGAGGAACGTCAGTGGGCTTGTTAAAGGACACTAACAGTCTGAAACAGACAGTTTCCAATCAATCCCAAACTGTTTTCAGGTGGTTTTAGATCTGGAGAGATTAAAAAACAAACAAAAACAATGAAGTTGAAAAGTAATTTCTTCAGTAGCCTGGAGTTTCAAACTAGAGCATTGTCTTGATGAAAGACTTTTTCATCCCATACAAACCCTTCAGCCACAAGAATATCCTCTGCAGGGATGGTACTATGCAATCCCAGGATCTTGGAGATGTACCTGGGCAAAGTTTTACTTAAATAAGAGTGGCACTACTTTTACTTTCATGTAAAAGTAGAAGGTAATCATCCAAGAATTTACTCTAATACAGGGGTCTATAACTGGTTCCAGAAAGGCCAGTGTGGCTGCAGGTTTTCTTTCCAACCAAGCAGTAGCACACCTGAGTCCATTTGTCTCAAGTAATCATGTTAAAACTAGACTTAATTGATGATGTGATTGCAGTCTGGTGTGCTACTGCTTGGTTGGAAAGAAAACCTGCAACCACATGGCCCTTTCTGGAACCAGTTTGAGACGCCTGCTCTAGTAGGAAAAAAAAATATTTCCTTGGTAAAGCCACTGCCAAAATGCTGGCGTACGTCGGATAAGTCATGGGTCAACTTTGTATAAGTTATGAAGACACTGAAGCACACTGGCACTGGTACATTTGTTGCTTTAGGCCGAAGCTGACACTGTACGGCAGTTTTTGTATCTATGTAAAATAACAAATTAGGAATTACCCACACTATGTAAGACTAAAAAATCTTTGCTATAAGTTAGCTGACAAAATCCTCTCGTACAAGATTTTGATTTGTGCTATTTCTTTGTTTTAAGTGTATTGATGGGACTGATACAGGTCAAGAAATTCCTAAAACAAAGACTGTGCTCTCAAAAAGCCAGGGCAGCCCAGATTCTAAGACGTTTTTAGCAGTTTAATTTGCAGACCTTAAAGCCAGGACTCTGACTAACAGTAACGCCAATGTGGTTTTAGGAATTTCAACGCTTATGACATATTATGCCTGGAGCGGACCCTGCTCCTAAGTCATTTCGGTTGTTGTCAGAGAGACACAGATGGTTAGTACAAAATAACCTTTGTCATCAGCCTGGGGACACAGTCATAATACCTTCAGATGGAGAGCAAGGGAGGAAGAAGAGAAGTGCAAGAAGAAAAAACGTGGAAAGTAATAGAGGAAAGGGCAGTTGGTGGTGTCATATGAAGATATATAAGCCAGGAGGAGATAACCTACACACTAAAACATGCATTTTCATCTGTATCAACACCCTCTCTTACTCACAGGAAGTGTTTTAGTCTGTTTCTGCAAAGTTTTTAATTGTGAAAAATAAAGGTTTTATTTAATCTGTAGTAAAAGACACATGGACTTAGACAAACTTTATTGTAATTTTGTATGCATACAAAATAAAACTCAGTTTCATACAGCTTGCAATAGTGAAAAGGTGAAAAGAACATTAGCATTTATAAAGTACAGTGATCAGAAGGTAAACTTTGTAGGAGAAAAGAAACCAGTTTAAACTATAATAGTAAAAAAGGGCATTAATATGAAAAGGTTAAGTGCAGTGCAAAATAAATATGGTGCAAAATGCACCATATTTATTAAAAAAAGAAGTTTAAAAGTTCAGCACTTTGGTAGTGCAAAATAATGGGGCGCATACTTCAGAATCAGATATTATCTATATTAATAAGGAGCTCATTATCCTCTATCCTGTGATCAAAAAGTACTTGAGACTACTTTAAACTCTACTTTAGACCCAAGGAAAAGATAACATTTCTGGATATGACTTTTAAAAAAAAGGCCTGTTTTTAAAATTAGCTTCTTACAACATGGATTTAACATTGAAACACCTCACTGATGCAAAAATTAAACATCTTTGAGGATAACTGTCTTCGTAAAAGCAATCACACCAGACACTGCTGTTGTTTGATGGTGTGCTCACTGATTGGAAAACAATCACATCCTTGAGTTACCACCTGGGCAGCCACATCTTAGCAAGTTAAAGTGAAATGAATCCAAGATGATTCTCTACAGAGCACCATTAGTTTTGAACTTTTAATTTGACTTGAGTTTTCTAGTCCGCTATAAGAAAAGACAATTTTCACTCATCCTTACATTTTCACTACAAATAATAGCATTATACGAGAAGTTTATTTGTAGTTTGGCTTTTCTTATTAAGAAACCACCATCATAGAAGTAAGAGATAAGAAGGCCAAAGCATTTCTGTTTTCAAAAAGATCGTTATCAGACAAAGGCTTCCTGTAGGTAACAAAGTTAGTAGATATCAATCATGCCATATTTAAAATGTTACCTTACTCATGTCAGGTAACAACAGATTATCTATGAAAGACAGGCAGGAAGCTTACGCAGCACTCACCTTTCTACTTAAAAGAAGCTAGACTATCTCTAACAGCATCTGTTTGGAGAGAGAGGTGGCTCTTTAGCCTTCGGGCTACACTCAGAAGGTTCATCTGAAGTTACAGGCCTATTATCATTCCACCAGGATGCACCTACTGACAATCTTTCCACTCCTTCAGAGTTAGACATAAAAAGCTACAGCTCACCAATGTTACATCCTATATGATTGTGTGAAGTACTGGAAAGTCTTAGTCTTGAGGGCATAGCTGGATAAAAAGTAACAAGTTTCCTTTTTGTCATAGCTAGTCATACTTATCTGCAAAAACATAAAATTTGAAATGTAATACCTGTGCAGGGATTGTATAGTGTTAATACAAAAATGTACCTCCCCATATAGCATTGTTAAAAAGACATGAGTCATGTTCATATTGGGATGCATTTCTTAAGATTTTCTCCACATTGGCTTGATAAGCTATGTAAAAACAAACATATTCCAGACTCCGACCAGCTGTGTTTATCAAGCTAAGCAACTGACTTAAATTAAAACGTTTTTTAATGAGATGCTTACAACATACCTGGGGCAATGATTAATCGATGCAGCCTTTTCTTTGGATGCTCTGGAAAACAAATACATTCTATAGGCTTCTTTGGTTTTTGTACCATCTTAAAGGTATTGTGGAGGATTTTCACAAATTTTTTAAAAGACCTGACCTCTCTACATAGAGAATAAAATGCACATGAGCAACGCTGTACCTGTTCCCGAGAGGGAATGCCTATTAAACGCATACGAGAGCATGCACAAGCTCTTTCTGCTCGTGCACGCTGCTATTTAAAAGTTGCTATTTGCATCGCTCATACAAGCTTACTGTGTCCAAACATCCGCCCTAACCCCTAAATCCCTCAATTACTATATAGAGTGGGGACTATATAGTGGACTTTATACCAAACTCAGCTAACTGATCGTTCGGACAGATGATCACTGCTTTTTGCTCCGTTGGTCAACTTGCCTCCACCGTGCGGTGCCTGCGCCATCTTTGTTATTGGTTGCCGCTATTGGTCTGGACAGCCTATGGCGACAGCATGCCGCTGTGACAGCAAAGCCCATAATGCTTATTGAGGAATGCTCCCAGCGCAAAGCATTCCGGAATATATATCATCTTAAGCCTTTCTTTTCTTCTCATACACTTGCTAGACACTTATCTAGGACCTAAGAAATCTAAGAAATAGGACCACTTATTTAGATGATCCACCAAGAAATAAAAGATCTCCTCTATACCTCTAAGGCATCCCCATCTGTTCCACCCAAATGGAGCCTTTACATTAAAAACATTAAAAAAACAAATCTGGACAGTTTGCTATTGTAGCATAAATGTCTGAATCAAATACTCTTGGAAATGTTTAGACCTTTTTTAAAACCAAAAAAGGCCAATATTATATACATTTTAATGACTTTTGGAAACAATTTGAAACAAATTCTTAAAGTTGTTTTGTCACTGGAAATTACCATCAGACTCATTTACACATCTGCACTGAAAGTCTTTTTTATTATTTCATTATAACAGCATACAATAATAGATCCAATGTGTTTAGAAAAAGAGAGGCAGAAGGCCAGCGAAGAGTATAAGAGATACAATGTCACCCTCTATTGGCAATGCAAACACATTTCAAATAGAAAAAGCACTTTTAAGAGGAAGTCTAAAGGTTGCTGCAGTGTCATAAAAACAGCCTTATTTAGAAATGACGGTGTATGTTAATGATTAAGTAGAAAGCAACATAAAGACTGTAAACCAAAGATTAACAAGTATGTTCAAGATCAGAAGGGACTGTGTGCATATTTTGATGCCGTCATAAAAATGTATAAATAAATGTATAAATAAATGTTGATGACCTGGTAAACATTGCTGAGATAATAGTGTGTATCTGAGATTTCATCAAGTTGTAAGAATTTGCTGCATTGGTGTTTTTAAGACTTTTTGTACGCTCTAATGCATATAAGAAGCCTCAAAATATTTGTTCCCTGACCGGGAATCGAACCCGGGCCGCGGCGGTGAGAGCGCCGAATCCTAACCACTAGACCACCAGGGACAAGTTGCACTCTTCACAACTGTCAGTCGATTTTGACGTAAGGACGACGATGTCAGATATTTATTGTGCCGGAAACACTTTTTTGTATACATTCGATGAATAATGTTTTACTTCTTATGTCACTTTGTAAGTTACAACCGGACTAATTCTAAATGAAACCGGAATTATTGTGTATAATGTTGGTACTATAACAGGGAAAGTGTGCACTGTAGAGCATTTCGGCAAAAGACATTCCCTGATTTTATTTATGATAGCATAATACAAATTTCAAGCTCCAAGTAAAATAAAAATACAAAGAATATTTGAGCTTATTTAGGATTTATTTTTTATGCATTAAACGTCAAATATTACGAAGATTCCTCAGCCTGAGGAGAGGGAAATTAATTTTTTTTTACAGGCATTTGACGAGGCTTCCCAACCTCACCGGGTCCAGAGTTGGGTCCTTGATTAACGTGGGACACACGAAAACGTGAAGTTGTTTTGGTAACGCTTGGAATGTGTAATACCGAGCTTTGAATCTTTGTTTTAGGTTCTAATTTTTAGGTATAGTGGGGTTCTTGGGGAATTAATATTCCTGCCATGATGCCAGGAGACACACAGGCCAAAACGGCGACTATAGCCGAGGACGCGACGGTTGGGAACTGTCAAAACTGTTCAGTCCTGCATCAGGTAGGTCTGGATCTTATTGACAAAACAGACTCTTTAGGTTGTGTCTTGTCATTTACGACGGTAACTGTGTCAAGTTTGTTCAATTTACAACCCTAAAAAAAACCCCTAACTTTTTGTTTTGTTTTTTGGAGCAGAGCTTGACGGAGTATATCACATCATTCCTGGCCCTTAAGCAGAAAATAGCGGTTACAGAGTGAGTATAAGCTTTGGTGACGCGTCATAACAAATTAAGAAAGAATAGGCGAGGTGTATTAGTGATTAATTGGTTTATAAGCTAGGATTATTACAAATGGTACGTGTTTGTCAATATTCCTCACGATTCATCGCTTCACTTAGCACAGTAACAAACTAGACAAAAAAAATCTGTAATTTAGATTGAGTAATCTCAATGTAGTTTACCTTAAATGAATGGTTTGCTGTTTAAAAAAAAAATGTTAGATATAGTTTTGTATCAAAATAAGATACGACTGGAATAGAAAACAAAACACCTACCTTTAACACTCAGTCCTACATAAACTCACTTTTCGCTGGCCTCGAGTTGTGGGACATAATTAAAAAAAAGAGCTTAATCTTTGGGGATTTGTTTTGGTGCCCTAAAGCATCTGAAAGGTTCATAGATAAGGAGGACACCTGACAAGGACTTTGAACAAAGACCTGATAAAAGCATAAAAAATAAATCAGAAATGCCAATCAAAGTTAATAATTTTTAATGTTTCCATGCAGCTTTTACTTAAATAACTGATGGTCATTGTTTCTTTCATTTTGGTAAAGGCATCTATTTTGGCATTGTATTTCAATGTTTGTAGTGACTCCATTATCCTTCGGGAGCAGCTGGAGGAACTGCAGATCCGTTTGGTCACACTGGAGAAAAAGACAGGAGATTATGAATCCATACAGGCTGAGCTGGAAGAGAAGAGGGTAGATTTTTTTTTTCTATGCTTAAAGGAATTTATACAATATATCCCTGTTTGACCAATTTACTTTGTGCATCTGATGAATAAAACCCAACTAACTTGCATTGTTTATTTTTCTAGGGTGCTCTTAAAGTTTATGAACAATTGTCTACAGAGATGGAAAATATAAAGCAGGAAAAGAGCACCATAGCTGATGAGTAAGTGACCATTGTACTTGCTGTGCCTGTTCTGTATCCCCCTCAATTTTTTTTATGGTACCACAGATTTCATTGTATTAACTAGGATTGTGTGTGATAAACAGATGATTACTTTTATACCTTTCCTTACAAATAAAAATCTGGAAAGTGTGTTGTAAATTTAGGTTCAGTCCCCTTCGATGTGACACATCTAAATATAATTGTGTGCAGTGCAAATCTGGTCTTTTTGTATTGGACATGTTCATGGCAGTAATGTGTTATGATGCTTTTTTTTTTTTTTTTTTAGCACAGATAGGGAAACTAGTCAAGGTAATAAGAAGGGAGGAAGCCTTTAGAGCAGGGGTCTGCAACCTTTCATATCCAAAGAGCCGTTTTGCCCAGAGTACGACCAAATAAAAGTTGTTTAGAGCCGCAAAATATACCATGACTTTTTCTAGAAAACCTTTTTTTTTAAATCTTGTATAGGAAATTAGTTGTTGCCATCTCAAACAATCAATTTATATATTTTTAATGTTAAAACGTATAATTTTCAAGCTAAGTCATAGAAAAATGTCTCTTAAAACATATTTCTGGTTCTTTTAATCTCATTCTTTTCCATCTTATAAAAAACACTAAACCTATTGATACCGGTATATATTATAGTAAATTATTTAGCTCTCTCAGACCCCTGCTTTAGAGGGTTAGGTTTACCCTTCAGCTGGATGACATCACACAATGCACACTCAGACCTGCAATGAAATGGTTTAGATCAATACGTCTTTATGTGATAGAAAAGCCTAATTAAAGTTTAGCCCTAAGCTCAAATTGAGAAGCTTTGACAAAACCTGAAACTGATATTTACAGAAACTCTGCATCTAAAACTAAGGTTAATGAATTCACTATAAACTTTTTATAATTTCTGACTGTTGCAAACAACATCCAAATGAAATGGAGCATGAACAAAGAAACATATAAATAATTGTGAGGCATTGTTACAGAGTATGGATTAAAGGGTCACATTAAAAACTAAACCATTCATCTCCTAGGAATAAGAAGCTTGGAGACGAGCTGAACAGTTTGAAAGGTAAATTACGGTTATATCTAGTAATCTCCTTTAATCTATTATTGCATTCTAAATTCTCCTGGATTATTTTTCTTCAACTCTTAGATTTAACAGAAACACAGGCTCTCGAAAATGCACAGCTGAGGAGAGAGAAGGCGGCTGTTGAAAACGATTTGCTAAAAACTCAGGTAACGAATAGGAGAACCTTTTACATTCATGCTTTTACTAATGATCTTTCTAAACTTTGTTTTCCTTTTAATCAAATTAGGCATCTTTGAAAAAATCTCAGGAACAGGCGGAGAAGGCTGATAAATTGACAGAAGAGAATGTTATCATCACAAACAAGTAAGGGTTTTTTTCTTCAGTCTTTTCCAAAGAACAGCGATTATAAACATGTTTTTCTCTCTTTTGTAGTATATTTTATTATAGTGCATAATAGTAATACATTGTTTTTGTCTAATTAACAGAAATGATAGTCTTGAAAACAAAGTTAAACTGCTTGAAGGTGAGTTTTAGATTTTAAAAATGTTTTGATAGACTACGGAACTTTATTGTATCTATTTAAGATGACTTGCTCTATTTGTTTGGTTTTCTTTTAGACTCAATTTGCAAACAGAACAATCAAATATCCCATCTGAGCAAAGAGAAGATTCTGCTTGAAAGGAACATCATCGACCTCCAGGTTCGGTAAAACCCTTAAAAATGCAGAATTGGGGAAAATAAGTAATCAAATTAACACTTTGTATTTGCAATTCTTTTTTAGGGAAGACTGATAAAATTGGAAAGGGAAAGGTGCAAAGGTACACAGAATTTATTTCTAATCCCTGTTTTATGGTGTTTTTTCGGTTGTTTATTAATAAATTAAACAAATCCATTCTAGTATATTAATTATTCAAATTCAATTTTTTTTTTAGAAGTTATTTCCAGGAAGCTGATTATAAATATCTTGATGTGTTTTTTTCCAACTAGATTATAGAAGTACTGCTACTCAAACAAGAGCAGAGCAAAAAGTTGACAAAGGTGTGGTGCTGGTTCTTTAAATGACGATTTGATTTGCACCTGCACTAAGCCGAAATCAAACATTTTTTTTTTTTTTTTGGTTTTCAGGAAAGGTTCGGATGCTCCTACAAAGTTTATGGGAATGTGTGGAGCCAGAGCAGGAACAGTCTTCAAACATACTAGGTGGGATAATCATTGACACATCCTCTACGTTTGTCTAATATTATTAAGAGAAACACATTCTTTTCCTAATTTTTTTCATAATATGTCTTTTATGTTTCCTTTTAGAGTTTGGTTACAAACGGGGTCTTCCTCCGTCTCCACAAACCAATCTAAAGTCGTATCAAGGAAGAAAGTTACCCTCTGCTTCTGAGATAATCATGGAATCAAATTGTCCTCAAGTTGAGGCCAGACCCAGCCACACAAAGCTGAAAGCTTGCCCTCCGGAACAGGAGTCATGCAAGCACCAAGCATCTGCTCACCAGTTGAATCAAGAATTAAAACAGAAAAAGAGCAAACAATCGCCCATGAAAAATAAACTTCATCATTCGTCTCCCTGCAAAGGCAACCATAATATATCTGTCGAGGAATTAATGGCCTTTTTTAAACCACTGCCCCCCTGTATATCTCCACTTTTGGAATTGGTGAGATCTTTTATTATCTTTTAAAATTTTCATAAAATTTGCAAAGAGAGGTTATAACTTTTGGAGAAAAAAGTGAATTAAAATGATTTAATGAATTACTGCTCTAACTTAAAACGAAAACTGTTTGTACATCCATGAACAGTTTAATCTTACAACTAAGTTTTTGGTTGTTTCTTTCAGGATACCAGTCTAGAATCTGTGGAGATGAGTGGTAAAGGGAAAAGAAATCAATCTGAACTCTCTAAGGATGTTTTTCTTCCCAAACAAGATCCGCCTTCAGACTCTAAAACATTACAGTTAAGCCCAGACACTAAAAAATCTGTTTCAATTAATCAAAAAGATAATGTGGATGTCCTGGAACATATTTCAGATGTAAAAGACTTTGGAAACAGTGGGGTTTGTGGAGTCAGTGACCTGCATGAAAACTCGGGTGAAACTAGTAAAAACAATAATTCATTAAATGAGACGTCCCGCCAGGAGCCGCCACTGCCTTTATTATTAAACGATAAAGTGTCAGAACAGACTTTATATTTACCAGAAGGAGTGGATCATTCCCAGAGTGAAAATCCAGACAACCAAACTGATATCATTTGTGACACTAAGAGAGACTTTGAGGAGGCAAAAGAAGATAATTTAAAGACTGTTGCAAAGATGGATGTTGATGTGAGCCCAGGTGACATTCCTGATGTTACAACAGCTGTTTCTGATGTAGATGGAGATTCAGTGGCACCCTCTGGAGAGATGGAAAATGAACAATGTGTTGCTTGGTCTAAAGGCATTGAATTTTTGGGCGACAGCCATACCACAAAAGATAAAAAAGGTCTTGTGGATTCTTGTCAGGAAAGTGCAAATCCAACTGCTTCAGGGCCTGTTTCCCAAGACTCTGAACTGACAGAGGTTTCTTTACCAAATAGCAGTGACAGCATAAGTGGTGTTTCAAATAAAGACATTGAAGAGGAAATGGAAGTAGATGCTGGGATACTTTGCCGTGAAGAGGATGATGGGAATGCTGTGCAAGCTCTCAGAGAAACTGATGTTACAGCTTCTCCCTCAGAGTCAAATGCCAGTAACAAACCTTTAGATCCTAAAACATCTCCAATTTTGAACAGGAAAGATGAAGACCCCAGTTGTCCCTTAGAGCACAAAGAAGCTATTTCTATAGCTTTATCACCAAAATATTTTGACAAAGAGGAAAGGAAAAGCCAATTGAAATCTGATCGTGCTCCTTCATTGTCCCCAAAAGATGCAACTGTTGACTCTAAATCTCTGAAAGAAAATTTGCATTTACTTTGTAGAAAATTAAGTCCTTCATGTCTGTTGCCTCAAGTAAACCTTAAGGCTTTGGAAACTGACCCAAACATGGAGATTGTTGAAAAAGCTTTACCTGTTTCTAGTACTTCACCTATTGGGAGATCTTCTGCCACCAAAGAACAAAAGAGCTTGGATATTTTTACACCGGTTCATGAACAGCCAACTTCACCTGTGAATGTTGAAGGAAAAGGTACAACGGTGTCCAGTCCAGCAGCAGCTCAAACGCCAGAGTTTATTGGCCAAGTTCTCTCTGAAATGGGTGCTCCACTTCCTCCTGTCCTGACCCCTCTAACAACACCTCCTAAAGCAGGAAAGCCAATCAACCCCAGGAACGCAATTGGAAAACTTTTATTTCCTTCACCTATGGATAGCTTAGTTTCACCTACAACTCCACAGAAAACCAATTTAACACCAAACTGTCAGCAGCTGGGTTCATCTTCCCTGAACAGCCCCGGTAATCCAAATGAAGTCCCCTCATCACCTCTCCAGTTTGGCTCTGCAACACCGAAACATGCTTTGCCAGTTCCTGGACGCTTTCCCACCAAAGCAGTTAGTTCCTCCCCTTCATCTTCAACCAGTCCACCTCAAGAAAACTCCATGAGGATCCTTGATACCATGTATCCAGAACTCTCAGCCCGCGCCCGTACTCTTAGCATCCTGAGAGGTAATGTTGGTCTAAGTTCATCGGAGAACGGAACATTACCAAAAACAAATGACAGTCAGATATCTGGCTTTAAAACCATCAGCTCCGCATCAACAGCCTTTACAAAGACAGAGACTAGAGGGAAAAAAAGATCTTCAATTGATTTGTCCCAGCCCAAAGACAGCAAGTGCCCAAAGCTTGACAGCAGTTCTACTGGTGTTACTGGCAAGCAAGAGTCTTCCCTCTCTTTAACTAGTAAAGATGAGGCAGCCTCTTCCAGTACTGTGGAGCCAGATCAGATCAAGAACCAGACAGCACCTCCGGCCATAGAAAGTGTTGAACCAACGGAACAGGATCTTATTCTTGATTGTCTACATAAAATTGAGAACCAGTGTTTTGATTTGCTTCCGGTTATCAAGAGCCACCTGTATGTTGGTAATCTGCCCAAAAAGCCTGTCCTAAGGGACGAGGAGAAGCAGGTCATCTTTGAGATTTGCACATGTAGCTCTGTGAGTATACCCATTTCTCCTTACTTTGATCAAGCCTAGTATGCTGACCTTTCTGAATGCTTTGTACATGTTTACTTTTGTAAAAAGAATGTACCCTTCTTTAGAGAGTTTTGTTTAATCAACTCCATTCAGTTTGGTTCATGGGTTAATCAGTTTTTAAAAGTAAAGTTTTAAAAGAAAAAACATGTGCATAATTATGTGTAGAACAAATCTATACTTCCTTTTAAGTTTCAGAAAGTCAAAACTAATGTTTCCCATAGGGAT